CAGCAGCAGAGCCGGTGGCCGGGGAAGGCGTGGGGAATGCTCGGAGACCTGCCACAGGGCCCGGGGGCCGCGGCCCAGGCCTCGCGGGCCGAGACGAGCGGAGGGGCGGATACTGCACCTTCCCCCCGGCCCTGCCCGGACCGTCCCGACGCGCTACGGAGCGAGCCTGCGCCGCTTCATGCCGCGCCGCCTCCGCTCCCGTCCGGGCTACAGCAGCTTCCTCGGCAGCGGCGGACGCGGTACTTAAAGGCGCTGGACTCGGTACTTTTAGGCGGCGACGGCGGGTGAAGCGGCCCCGGCACTTCCGGTTCCTCGAGCCCCGCCTCCCCGGCCGAGGCGCTGCAGCCGGGCCAAGAAGGAGGCCGCTGCCTGCTGTGCTGCGCCGGTCACTGTAGCGCCACCTATTGGCCGGGAGGAACGACGGGGACGCGGGAAGGCGACCCGCCAGAACAGGCGACAAAAGAAATCTGGGAGGGGCTGCGACTTGCTCTAAATCACAGGAGGAATTGTGGTGCATCGCTATGCATTCATTGAAGAATTTTTTGCTTTGGACAGTCAGGGTCTCGATGTGTAGCCTAGACTAGCCTCGAATTTGTGGTAATCCTCCCGCCTCAACCTCCCAATTGCCAGGATTACACTGAGCGCTAATCATTTTTTTCCCCCACTTAACATATGTGTATTGAGTGCCTACTGAAGGCAAACAGAAATCCCTGTCCGTGTGCCAGGCCGAGTTGTAGAGATCAGGATTACAGCAGGGAACAAAATCAGGTAAAGGGCCTTGTCTCTTCATGGAGACCATCCGGAGAGAAGAGACTACCTGTGGCTTGGGGCAACACGTAGCTGTGTTTAAAAAAAGAAAAACCCCCATAAAATTGGCTCTAATATATGTAGTCTTCAGTATGTCAATCTCTTTGGGCCATGATCCCTCTGTTTTTAAAAGAGATATAACACTCAAGCACGGTGGAGCGTATTTATAATCCCAGCACTCTGGTAGGCTGAGGCAGGAGGATCACTAGTTCAAGACTGTCGAGTCTACATGGTGACCCTGACTCAAAATTAAAAAAAAGAAAAAAGATGAGGATGTAGCTCAGTGTAAAGGCTGTGAGTTCAAGCCCCAATACAAATATATACCTTTTTTTTTTTTTTTTCTAAATTGCACTTAAAGAAAGCACACAAAGATGATGAAAGGAGACTCAGAGTGGCTTGTTACACTCAGTCAATCCCCTGACCCACGATTTCTTTTCTAGCCTGCCCTATGCTTTGGCAAAGAGAAAGAGAAAACGAGGGTCTAAGGAGATGACCAAAGAAGAGTAGGCGTGCTAGGAAACAGTGGAAAAGCTAGGCCCCCGTTTTCTAATATTACAAAGAGTGTGCGTCACAGCTGCGTGTCACTGGGATTTATTTTAATAGCACTAATAAAAGATCCATTTGGGTGTTGTGTTCTCCTGCACAGGATGTAATTACTCACGCCGTGGTTCACTGAGCCTTCCTGCAGGCTTTTCAGAGTGAGCTCCTTCAAAGAACAGCCACTGTGAATCTCTCATGACCTGGGAGCAGACTAACAAAGCGCCGAGAAAATGCCGGGCCTCGCTCGTTCCATTCGCCTCATGTTTTCCGGCTCCATCGTGTGCTTCACTGTTCCAAGCACTAGGATTACAGGTGGTGGACAAAAAAACTGCATCCTTGGCTTTGTGGAGTTTATAGTTTAATAAAACGGACCCCTCCCCCTGAAAAGCAAACAAAACAAAAATCACGTGATTTCATAGATTTTCTAAAAAGAATCCGTTCAGGGTCTCACCTCTAGATCAGACTCGTAGTGATCCGCCTGTTTACAGCTTCCCGAGAGCTGGGATTATAGGCATGCACCCCCACACCCCGTCTCAATCGCTGTCAGTGCACCCTGGGGGCGGGGGCACTGCAGGCCCAGGGATTGAATCCCGGACCCTTGAGCCCGTTTGCTGGCGCTTTAATCTGCTGAGCTATTTGGCCCGCCCTAGGGCTCTCTTAAATCATATGGCAGATTAAAGAGTTTGAGAAGTAACAACATTAGGACTTTTCTAAATTTCTTATACAGTTGGGGAGTGAATCTGGCAGGGTGTGGACTTTTCCTCTGTTGGTAGGTTTGTTTTTGTTTTTTACCATTTGTTAGCATTTGAATAAGCTCCCCACTGTCCTGTGGCTTCAAGCCACCAGGACACAGTCCCACCCGCAAAACCCTTGATCTTTTACTCAAATGTTTTGCTGAAGAATTCTTCTTTCACAAGGACACACCGCTTGGGGAGCTTTCCCTTCCCGTGAACTTGTAGTACCTGATGGCACTGCGTCAGTGATGGGAGCTACTCCTGCCTTGGTTATGGCACTATTTCTGTCTGCTCACTGGCCGTTGTCCGCAGTTTATCGAGGTTGACAGGTGGGCAGAAGCTCTGGTTTCCCTTTAAGTGGTAAAGCCTCATGCCAACCCTCCCCAAGGATTCCGGCTTCCAGGGTGCTTACCTACGCGGCCAGGGACTGGCTGGTGCTACCCCTGAGTGTCAGGGTCTTCCTCAGTCTGAATGGCACGTGCACAGCCGAGGCCCAATGTTGTTAGCAGGTTTTTAACCAAATCTTCAACTTCATTGGCTGATATTGGCTGATTTATAATTTTTTAAAACTTTTTTTTCTTGGGGCTGGTGAGATGGCTCAGTGGTCTAAAGCACCTACTTAAGCTTAGCAAAGCACAGGGACCGC